GCTATTCTTCAATTCGTTTGTGATTAATTTATTCCTTTAAAAAATTATGTTGTTTTGATTTATGATTGATTAAGTTGATGGATCGCGATATGCTATCCTTTTGGAGATGTCTTAATTTTTTTAGATATGTTTCCCTGCAAAACTCAAAGGTGACTTTCTATCCTAAATTTTTTGTCGTAATCCTGTTGTGATGAACCTTAAAAGGATATATGAGGGCTAGAAATGGAAGACCTAAGATAACTGGGTCATAAATATTTGTGATTAAAACAAATGGAGTTTTGAAACAAACATCATTTTGACAAACATGTGCTTTGGGTATTTCATATTTTAATTGCATTGGTGACAGGTTAGCAGCACTAAGTATTTCTGATAACTTATGAAAATACTTAGTAGGGATTAACCCTTCTTGAATACAATTCAAATCTACACCAGAGTCAATCAAAGCAATTGATTCAAAATGAAAATCATCAACTATTATTTTAATTTTAGAATACCATTTCTGGATTCTTATCTTGTCTAAAAGACTTAAAAAATTAAATTTCATGTGGATGATTGGTCATCGGAGTTATGATCCGAAGAAGAACTACTTTGTTCTTCATCATTGTTATTGACAAGTGTTTGGGTTCGGAATTTACTAAGGTGTGTACGAATTTATAGGTTCTCAGATTTTAAAACCCTCTCTTCTTTGATTATTAACTTTGTGTTGTAGATCTTTAATTGTGATTTCTTTCTTAGTCTTATTGAACCTTTCTAAGGTTTTGCTAAGAGAAATTCTTGGGGTTAATTGGGTTTGGCTAGTGCTAGGTTCTTCTAAAGAAACTAATTTCTTTAGTTTCTTAAGATAGAAAGATTTAAGTTCAGGGTCATCGACTTTACTTATTAATTCAATGAGAAGATCTTCTTGTTCTTCTTGTTTATTAAGGACCGAGGTTTTTTTACAACAAGCATCGGTACATCCTATCTTGATGTCAAGAGATGAAGAATCACTTGAAGTGTTATTATCTTAAGAGGATAATTCCAAATCATTTTCAGATTGACTATGGTCGGTGTTCCTAAGTTCTAGGACTTGAATTAACTGAAGTTTCTCTTCCTCAGAGATCTTCAATTGGTTGATTGTTTTCTTAACTCGGCATTTATTGGCATAATGGCCAAATTTACCACATTTGTAGCACTTTCCTTTTTGTTCTTGATTTTTGGAGCGGATCTTTTGAGAGGGTTTCCTTCTCCACTTGTTGGATTTATTAGGTTTTTCATAAAATTTATTGGTTTCAAAATGTTTATTTTTAGTTTTATATTTATTGTATTTAGGGTATTGTCTACCTGAGTACTTGTTGGAGTACTTTTGATAGACTTGTGATTTTTCCTTCTTATTAGAAGGAGCAATTGGAGGTAATCCGTATTGTTCACAGAACGTGCCTAATTCATATTTAGCAATGTTTTATCTTTGTTAACTTGTTTTGAAATTTTCATATCGATACACATTTTCAAGCCTTCTTTCTGGATAATATTAATTATATTTCTATAAGTAAGGTTATGATATGGTATAAATGCCGAGTTAAGAAAACAATCATTTGAAAATGGGGATTAGTTGTAGGGTCCACATGACATCGAATTTTAACTATTTGAACCGTCTATTTTTCAAGTTGCACCTTATAGATCATCCTTGCAAAATATTAGCCAAATCGGAAATTTTTAAAACATCTAATTGCGTTCAAAAAAATTAAAGAATACTTTGTTAAATAAGAAACAATGAAATTTTATCTTGATAATTAAATAGGTAAATGATTTTGGATTAAATTGAATTTTTGCAAAGATAATTTATGAATCGAGACATATAAACTAGACGGTTCGGATCATTAAAATTCGATGTGGAATGGATCCCACATCTAGTTCACATTTTTTCCCTTTGCATAAAGGGCTTGTGTGTGTGTGTGTGTGTGTATGAAAGAATGGCACGGAAATCAAATTTTACATTGTTTTTATAGAACTTATCAATTAAAACTCGTGAGGTTTAAGAACAAAGTTTAAACAAGTAGAATGTATACATTCGATTCCACATGTGGATCCAAGATATTATTTATGTACAATAAGGTCCGGATATTGATACAATTCCTCTAATTATTCTTTGTAATGCAATACTTCAATAAATTTCGATTAATTTATCAAATAACTAAATAAAACCTATTGTTCCTTTAATTAAACTACGCATCATGTTTATAAAAATTTAAAAGGAAAGTATGCATGGATCATGAAGTGCGTTGCCAATATAACTTGTATATTTGCCGAAAGTGAATTGAATGGTTTGAACTTTATGTAAACTACAGGGGGTAAGACTCTCTCATCTCCAAATCACTTCCTCTTCAGTCTCCTCTTCTCTCACTTTTTTTTTTTTCTATAAAGTAGTCAACATCAGATGTTAACATGGCTTAATCATAACCGTTCAAATATGAGGAGATTAGAGAAGAGGGGAATTTGAAGAAGATCGAATGCTACTTCAAACTACAATTGCTCAAAAAAAATGGTAACCTATAAAGAATCCTAGAAAGGAATGGACAAGGTATACAAATCCCAAGTTTCGTGTTGGTGTTCATGCAACTTGTAGAACCCCTAGCTTTTACGTTATAGATTATAAGATAATTCACTTCCCATAAGAAGGAGTATCCGAATATTATAAAAATGTTGACTTATCATTCAATATTTGCATATAAACATCTTTGAAAGAGCAAATTAGATTTCAAATCCCAAGTTTTGTGCTGGCGGGTGATCTTACAGTTACTCAAAAGAACCACCATATCCGGCACTCCTGCAATAATATATTGTCACTATGAATGCACGTTCTTCTCTAATTTAATTTACTGTTCATGCTTTTGAGGATCGAGCTAGCTAGCTAGGTTCATTTCATATTCGTATCATAAGTTCCTGCTGTGATTTTGTCTGAGATATGGTTCGATTCAAAGGGAGGGAATACAGGTGCATGAATGGAGGAAATGGTCCATATTATTTTTCAATTATTTGGTCATGCTCGTTATAAATGCCATCAAAGAATATGGATACTTCAAACAATACGGTCAAAGAGTGATTTTTGTACTCTTATTCATCCTCTACACTCTTTTGAATTTGGGTCATTGATTTCATTTTGTTCAATCAAAAGGCTGAAAAGAAAAATGTGCATAAGACTAAAAAAATAGTGTATATAAATCATTTTAACAAATTTTATTGAAGAATTGGTGCTTATCAAAGTTTTTTTTGTTGGAAGGTGCTTCTCAAAGTTACTAAGTTAGGTCTTAACATTTTTGTGCAGAGTGCGATTAAACTATATAACCATGTAATTGTTTAATTTGGAACTGTAACAGAGTTAATAATTCCACACAATGATCAAATATGTTAGCAACTTTATATAAAAGTGCAACCAATTTGTTTCTATTGATATAAACCAGCGGGTGGACTTGCTACATATATAGTACTCTTCATGTATTGTTGCATACATTCCTGTAGGAATTTAGAAACCGGGTATTCTTTTTCATACAAGTTATTGCAAAAGAAATCAAATTCGGAACTTCAAATATAAAAATAAGTATTCTTAACAAACTAAAGCTGTAAGTTGCAAATTTCTCGCAAGAATCGTGTTTTTGCGTCGACAACTTTCGTTTATTGCGCATATAGCTGTCTAATGCATGGCACATGTATAATTGATCAATCAAATTAATAAGTGCCCCCAACATTGTGCACATGTCCCTGCTCCACCTTAGCACATAGTTCATGGATCTTATTCATTGTCTTCTCAACAAATATAAATATAAATCAATGAGTAAGAATCATATATATATATATATAGGGTTATTGACATTCCAAAAATCTCATTCTACACTCCTTACAAGTGTATTTTTCTTTCTAAATATAGAATGTTTGGAATGTAGAATGAGAAATTTGGAGTGCCAATTGTGGATGCAAATTTCCGCCTTCTTCTTCTTGGACAAAATTGCACCACAAAACAATTAACACTTTAGGTCAAGGCCAAGAGCCTCACGCACCCACGATGAATGGGGGGGGCTTTGGCCGAAGAACCTCCGATGTCAAAGTTAGAATTTAGAAGAAGTATTTGGAGAGTTTTTGGGAGTTTTGCAAGAGTGTCGAACTCTCTATTTTAGAAAAAATAGGGTCATATATATAGGGAATGGAGGTGGCCGGCCTTTTAGAGGTTTTTTGTGTGAAAATGAGTGATTTAATTGGTGATTAATGGATTAATTAGGAATTAATCCATTAATTAGCCAATTAATCTCCATTTATATGGAATAATTTGAAGGTTATGAAGTAATTACCTAAGATGAGGATGGATGAGATAATTTGGAATTGGTTACCTTTTTTGGACACTCTTGGCTTGATTAAAGAATAATTGTCCACTGCTCGCGCGTAGGACAATCGGTGTCTCAGGGATAACTTTGTCCTTGTTACCAAAAACTCACGTGTTGCCTTGTGATTATTTGTTGCTCCACACCAATAACAATTCCCTATATATATATATGATATTTTATAAATCGATTACATGTTATTTCGATGATAGTTCTCTTATTAATACTAAAAGAAATATTAAGTTCAAATTCAACCACCAATCAAAAGAAAAGCTAATATAAAATAACGATGTCTTCTAAGCATACAACCAATAAATTTTTGAAACTTGACAGGAAATGTCTGATCAATCATAACTGTCCTAAGTGCAATGAGCCAAGATATCGAAGAACAATATTCCAAATAAGGTGTTGTGTTTTTTAATCATAATTTAAAATGAAATGTCAGATAATTCTGAAAACTAACATTAAAAATTCAACAAAAAATTAAAATAAGAAAACATAATGCAGAGAATCTCATCATAATATTGTTGGTCCAAAATAATGATGCAGAGAATCTCATGTCCAGTGCCGTATTAAAAATTAGAGAGAATAAAACCACTATTAACCAGCGGGGCCATGGACAATAAAGAAAGTTGCACATGAGCCACTATGAACATCTATAATATATATTATTGCTTCTTGTCGTCCCTAACAAATCTCAGAATATATTCTTAACTTTAGTTAAAAACATTAGAAGGACCAAAAAGAAGAAAAAAAATACAGGGTCACAGACACATCGAAACTTCATGCTCTCCATCTCTGCGGAGCCGGTCTACTTTCATTTGATTGTGTCCATGGCCGAAACATCAACCCAAAGCAATCTAGCAACTTCTTCAACTTCTATTCTTGCACTTCTCCACCGCTCTTGGTGCTGCAATAGGGTGTAAAAAAATTAGTGCGATTTTAAAATTTTAAATTAAAATTTGAAAACCATTTTGTTTTTAAGTTTAAACTGGTTTTGCAAATGTTTTTAGTTTTTAAAATTTTACTCGATTTTAAAAACTAAAAGTTGAAAATAGTTATCAAAAAAGTTTTTAATTAAAAAATATTAAAACTATAAAATTAAAATCCGAAAAACTAAGAACTTAAATTGTTATAAACTGCTCTAATATGTAAATTAAATAAATAATTTGAGGCACTAACCAAGTCCAATAGCTTCAGATCCCCTCATTATTCGCAAACGTTTGCATGAATTGACGAACATTCTGTGACAAGCCAAGACAAAATTAGTGATTTGTGGTTCATCATAATTCAAGTAAATTGCAGCTTAAGTTTTGAATTAGATATAATTAAAGGATAATGTTTGTGTTCTCCCCATAGTGAAACCTACTTATTTTCCCACCTATGATCAATGTATCCTTACTTTACGAACATCATAATCTGAACCGTTTATTCTCTTTATGATCGTCTAAAGATCAGATTTGCAAAAAAATTATTCAATTTTGAGATCGTTTAGCTATCCATCCATCTCAAACCAATTGACGGTTTTGATAACAAGTAGCATCTTCACAATGAATCGTTCATTTTTATGCATATAGATGGTTAAATGATCTCCAAATTGAATAATTTTTCCGATATATAATCTTTAGACGATGATAAGGAGAATGAATTGTTCGAATCATAATGTTCATACAATAAATATACTTTAATCATAGAGGGACAAATAACTTCCCCTATGAGTGGAACACAAACATCGTTCATAATTAACTTAGATTAGTATGTATATATAATTTGAAAGAACTTACTCCCATGGCACATCTCCAACAAGCATCCAATCTCCATCCTTGTCCTCATAAGTAGGCACATACTCAGAACCATTCAGAAGGTCTATTAGTTTGCTCTCGTTCATGAAATCCTTCATTCCTTGTGACCCGTAGCTACCTTCAATATTCCACAATTAAAAAATAATTATTATCAGTTTAAGTTTTTTATTTATTTATTACAAACGACAAAATTTTGTAATCAGCTAATTTAGAGGAAGGAAGTGTATGAAACCAGAACATAGTGGGTTCAAAGGAAAAACTCTAACTAGGGCATCCACCACTTGCTTTATCAGTTGTAAGTTACTAAATATTCAAACTTAAGAATAAAAAAAAAAATATGAAAACCCTTTTGTTAAGCATGATTAATTAACCGATTAATTAATTACCGATGGTGAAGGAACTGAACATTTTGCCTAAGGCAGTAGAAAGCTCTTGGTAGCTTTTGTACAACTTCAAGTCCACTTTACGCAAGTAGGGTGCGCCATCCATGCTGACTTTAACAAATGCTGCGCTGACACTGTTGGTCTTTTCACCCTCATCCGAGACATCCTTTTGGACGGCCAGGATGTTCTTTCGGAATGATCGGACGGGTGGCCAACCTACAACTTGAGCCCTGTAATAATTCAGTAATGTATAGTATAGTTAGGCCACGGGTCGTCGCTTGTTATTCAAATTATAACACGTAACTTAAAAGTATGACATGAAAACTTTATCGATTATTATTATAATATATAAAGGGGTGTGCTATCTACATACCCCAAATTACTTCTCACACACCCTTATTAATTTATATCCGTTGATCTTCTTCAATTCATCCGATCCGACGACCAAAAATTAGAAGGATGTATGAGAAGTAAAATGAGATGTGTGGATATCACACCCCCTACATAAAACAGTATATCACATTTTTGAGTACCCAAAAAAAACTTATCAGTAGTGTACACATGAGTACAATAATGTTCTTGTCTATCATGTTCTACTTTTGATGAGTTGTCCATAATTCATTTGGTGTTTGAGAAAAAAGCAAAATAAGATTCCATGTGTTTTGTTCGTTTCCTTAGTTTTCCCGACAACCAACTGAACCATTCAAAATTACTTATAATTCAATACGTAATGCAAATTTATTTCTCTGGATGCATGTGATCCACGGAAAATAAAACGAAAAATTAATGTATGAAACAAAATTATTTTCTCTGTTAGAAACCACTTTCTAGTTTCATGAGTTGTAACAAACGATTTAGATTCTAACTTGGTACAGGGAAACCAATACATAACTCTAATCAACTTAGCAAGTACTCGTTCTATGAGCGAGTACGTAACTAATTCATAATTTAATTGTCGTCTTTACTTAGATGAAAATTATTTGTATCGTCTTAATTGACACAATAATACTCAAATAAAAACTATTTGTACTCTGACTCAATAATACTATCTAGCACATTAAGTAATACTCAACTAAACCAGTAATTAGGTAAAAAGAGAACTTACTTGGCAGCATGGGGCTTAGTTGGATCATTTGACCTAGGAACAGGAGCAACATCCTTCTCCTTCTTCATGTCCACCACTTGATCTTCATCACCAGCCGACTGATCTTCGGATGAAATATTGAGCTTCAAATCAACAGTTTCAGCAAACCCTCTCTTTCCAGTGTTCTTGGAAGCTTCACCATCCTTTCCAGCAGTGCTTAATATTCCACCAGGCAACCCCAGACGCAGTTCTGTCTCCTCAAAGTTTATCAAGCTATATTTCTGATTCTGCTGTTCATGTATCACGCTACCCATCGTGCTTCTAGGGTTTTTCTAGGGTTTTTATCTCTCTCTCTTCTTCTTCTAGGGTTTTTATCTCTCTCTTCTTCTTCTAGGGTTTTTCTGTGTGTGTTAAGGGTAAATATTTGAGGTTAGTTTTCAGGATCTTAACAACTCTACGATGTTTGTGAAGAGGGTGGAAAGTGAAGACGTGCAACTTTGAAAGAAGGCGAAAATAGGTCTGGTCTGGGAGGATATATGGTTTGTTGAAGAATCTTTTAGTGGAATTAGACGGTTCAGATGGTGCCAAGTGGAGGGTTCAGTTAGCTGGATCGCTCGGGCCTTGTCGGAAAACTGATGTCACGGGTGATGTCAGGTTTGGAATGATTGTGGTTAGGCAAGTGGACACAGGACAACTTGGCGCTCTCTGTTTGCCTTTTATTTGTTTCCTGAACACTCTTGTTTCCTTGGGGCGCAATGGCTCCACCTCCACCTATATAACTAATCACTAATCCCAAACTTAATTTAATAAAACATTATTAAGTAAACTAAACTTTTCTTAAACTTTTATAAATTTTTTTTTCCTTAAATTTTTATTTTTTTTAAAATCCTACAAGTTACTGGCATTCTAAAGTGTCTCTCCTTACATAATTGGTCTACTTTTCTTATTCATTTTTTTTTAAATATTTTAGTTGCCAAACTTTACTAATTATTACAAAATGTTTAGTCCTTTTTCCTTTTAGGAGACAATTCTCCATGGAGATGCTTCAGATAGCCTACCTCCAGTACGAAAAAAAGTGTGACTATTTTTCTTTTGGTGATCAAGTGCAACTGTCTTACGTAGAGAACGAGTAATAATCATTGATCAATATTAATGTGGATCAAAATTCAAATAGCCAGTGGATTGCAAATTAATTTGAAGGCGCAAATTCGATATACAAACGATCTTTAGGGTGTTAGAGTTTGTTACCTTTCGTACTATTAATAAGTAAATATGAGGTTTTCTTATATTTTCTAGTGGACTTCAGTTTACTTGTCCTTAAGGTAGTCATTTGATACATTCTCTTTGTCACGTTGCATCACATATCAACCCAATAATCAGATTCATCTTAATCAACTATTCCGTACTCAACCCACACATTTATGTGCGATTATAGAACATCTTTACGATGGAGAAGAAAGTATTGAGTACTTTATTCTCTTTTAAGTCCTCAATCGAATCAAACTAACCTAGCTAGCTAGGCTTCCACAACATAAAGTGTTTGGTTACAACACAAAGCTTATTGGCAATGAGTGGAGGACTATGAATGTTTATAAGGAAAATATTATGGCCACAATTACTACATTTTGGGAATCTTCAAATAGAAAATGGGGAGCGATCTAGTAAGCATATGCTTCTTGCATTATCATTGATCTGTATTAACCATTGAGCATGACGGAAAAGAAAAAATGGACAGGTTTTTGAAGCTTTTACCTACTTAAATCCCATCAGCTTACGTCTTTAATTTATGTCACAGAGAAAGTTAAAGGACGAGGCGACCTTTGTGGATATGAACAAATTAAGGCAAGGTTGAAAGGGATATCCAAGAGTTATCCAAAGTAATTCCATTACCATCACAACCACGTGTGTAAGTGTAACAATGTTATTCGAAAAATGTAGAAACAAATATACCATTTATAAGTTGATGCTTTGAGCTTTATAAAACCCTAGCTTTTTGAAACGATATGGGTGGATCTACTATTGAAATCTAATCCTAAATCCCTCTCAGCTTCCTTTTCTTTCGTCCGAGGTCAAATTTTATGCACTCATTTTGTGTGTGACATCTCTATAATCTCTATAATTGATTGACACGTATTAAGTTTATAATAATAAAGTTAAGGAGAGTTAAGTTTATTAACATGTGTCAATCAATGATAGAAGCCGTTACACACAAAGTGAGTGAAGAAGATCTGAGCTCCTTTTGTCCTAGCTAGGTCTTAGAAATGAACAAAAAGAAACGAATCACGAACATTTTTATCCAAAAAAATTAAAAAACCCTAAGTATTTCGTTAACACAAATAATAGAACGACAACATTGCATAATAGTGGCCCGTGAATCCACCCTCTTTTGGATTGCATAGGGTACGATATATCTAGCCAACTTTAATACGTAGCGTGTCGAGCATATATATTTAGGATAAGTACTTGCTTGCATAGCTCAAAATCTTATCAAATCCCCACTTTGTGTGGTGACCATCAAAGCACCCACATCATCGAGTCATCCATGGATAGCGTCCAATTTTTTTCTATTAACAAAAATAGGTAGAATATCTAAAACGAACTTCCAGGTTGTTTAAGTTGAATATCAGAGTGCGGAACAAACAAGACTACAAAATAATAGGAATTTTATTGAACAAACGAGAATGCCGAGACGGCTACAAAAACCCTAGAGACTACATTGTGAATAAATTATTCTCTAACTAAATTACAAGCTCTATTTATAGAGCAATAAACCAAAGAAACCCTAATGCGTATATGCCAAAAATACCCTACTACAAAATCAAATCAAATCTCTAATTAATTTCCTAAATAAACCTAATAAATTCCAACAGTTTAATTTGTCAAATTTGCATATATCAGATGGGGAGTGCAACTCTTATATATGTTCCAATTTTCTTTTATTTTGGACCAACCATATTATACTTTAAAGACAATACTTCTCTCATCTCCCATTAACATGACATAATTTTACTGTTATATCATCATCAGAATTTCATTATTTTATCATCATTTAGATATCATATATATCTAGAAAAATTCATTAAATTCGAAGACCGTCTAGTCATCCAAATGAATAGATTCATCTTGAGCAATCTATTCATTACCATAACTGGTTATTGACAATATATAGTATCCAACCAGCCTCTAACCTCTCCAGTGAATCTGCTGGCAAACCATGATTCCACCAATCTCTCCATATTGTTTTATGTAAATAATCAATAGTTATTAGTTGCCTATTATATGTTGCACAAAGTCAACTAGTGAACAAATCATCAGTATTTCTCCTAACACAGACTCTTATTTCTCTGCTCTATTTCCTTTCTGCCACTCTCTAATTCTCTATAGTTATTTAGTTAACACATATGAATGGCTAAATAGTACCATTGAATGAATTTTTTCTAAAGTTAGATAAGAGGATAAACAAGGTCAAATGTGACGTTTGCGTAATGAAATAATGCCGTGTTAGACAGAGAAGAAGACTTTCCTCGCTACTGATAAAGGAGGAAAGTATTGTGATACTATTAAAATTTGAAGCCGTTGATTATGTTGAATTTGCATGATCATTGTATCCGATCGCTTTGATTTACCCATACGCATGAACCTTCAACGAATATCGCATGCAAAGAGAAGAGGGGGAGAGAGGGGAACGCGGAGAAAGTCAACTCGATCGACTGAGGGAAAATCATGTGCATTTCTGCACTTTTTATTCCATTGTAGAAGAAGATAGGGAGCGCTGATTGTCTGGGTCTCGCCAACCACCAACCACCAACCACCAACCACCACCTTCTCCAGATAAGACTTCATTTTTATTTTTGCTTTACAAAGACTTCATACTATTTCAGCTCACATATCGAGTATATTTTTGAAAAAAAAAATATGAATCATTTGTCACATTATACCATTTTTATTAAAAACACTATTTGGCACCTTACTATTAGTAACTATTCATCCGTACAAATTCCAAAATGTACATAATAAAGTGACTTACAAAAGTAACAGAAAAAAGTTTTATGTATTTATATCAACGAATTACGGTTGCAAAGGAAGTAAAACTCCTTTGCATGTAAGGGTTGTAACATTTGCATACAACGAGCTAGCGTTACAACCGTCATATACATGGACGTTTACAGAGAGCTATAGACATGGCCATGTTACAATGTTGCATGGTATTTCATGGCTCATCCATCACCATGGATGACCAACAAGAAACAAACTGCTCCGATCCATCTCTGATTCAATTTTCTCATAAAAGCTGACAAAACACAGAAACTTAGAAAAGCACAAATGACAAGGACGGCCAAACAAACGAACAGAGAGAAGGGCCCATGCCAACCAAACCAATCCACACTGGGAGTCCCTCGTGTGGCGTGGCCCCTTCTCCTTCCAATCACCAGGGCCCCCTGTCAGCATCCTACACCTCTCCTAGACCCCACACGTGTGCAGTAATTAGCATGGAACCACATAAACCCAGCACAACAATCCATCAGCATCTCGCAGGAGACGGGGCAGACACCACACGTGTGACTTTAATAGGGCGATGCAGATGGCTCGAAGCTTGATTTGACGTTTTCTTCTTCTTTCATGGTCCACGAGTCAGTGAGTCAGTGACTCAGTTGCAGCTTCTGAGTTTCACACTTTTATCGCGAATTCTCTATGCTATGGAGTATTTTACCTACTGAAGCTTTTTTGTTGTCGGTGTTTTCGTCAAGAATCCAATGGTCAATCAAAATCTCCGACATGTAATATACCTGAATACGATAAGATTTTCGTTTTTACCAATCTTCTTTCACGTCATATTCCAAGTTCACGTCCCTACCGTCCTGCATGCAAATTTTCTGTGGAGCCAAACGGAACGGCAATCAACTCTACTGTTTAATACGGAGAGCTCATTGTTCACAACCGTTGATTTCCCATCAAAACACATAGCATCATGTGCATGTAATGAATATATTTATCAGAAGCTTCACATCAATCTCAAAAGCAAAAAATGAAAACCCTAAACGTGGCTTTGTTGAGGTCACGAGTGGATTGTCCCCCTCCTACCTTGCCAAGAATTTAATGAGAAAACGAAACTGATAATCCATTCCAAATTAGATTTATCGAGAAAGTAATACCAAAGGATCAATTCATCAGATGACTCATATCTATCTGTCCCTAAATATATAAATCCATCTAAAATATCTATCTATCTAATGTATAACGGTTGACTCTAAAAATTACAAAACTTATGTGGTGCGCATATCGAGTACTACTTAGCTAACAACATCCTTGTTGATGTGGGCGTGCCAATTCATGGCCGA